CCCGACCCGGCACGGCCGGCCGGAAGCCAGCGCCGAAAGCCGCGGGGCGGGGCAGGAAGCGGAAGTGACCGCAGAAGCGCAGCGGCGCGATGGCGACGGCAGTATGGGCGGCTGCGCGGCTGCTTCGGGGCTCTGCGGCTCGGTGCGCGCGGCCCAGGTAAGCCTAGGCGCGACCCGGCGCGAAGAATTGGGAACTCGGGGGGTCAGGCACCCTAGAGAACTGGAAGAGGAGTATGGACCTTGGAGCAGAGCTCTGAACGTTGGGCCTGAAGAATAAGCCCGGGACTGGAAGCTGTTTGGAGGGGTTAGGAGTCTGCCGGCTGGGGTCTTCCAGACCCCAAGGCAGAGCTCCGAAGGGCAGGGCTTGCCCTGGGCCTTATATGCGGCAAATGGTTTCTCAAACAGCCTGCAGTCCAGAATGGGCAATGAAGACTCAAAGATCTGGGGCTGGAGAGGCGACTCAGCAGCTTATCACCGATTGCTTCCTCCGGGTTTGGTTCTCGGCACCCACATGGTGGCTCACAGCATTCATATCGCCTCTTCAGGGGACCCAGCGCTCTCTTCTGACCTCCTTGAACACCAGGCATGCACGTGATGCACATACATACGTGCAGGCAAACCCTCAAACACATAAAATAAGAATAAATAATTATTTTTCTATTAAAAAGGATCCAAAGACTTGAACCAGCGTGCCTGAGATCCTATGGCAGAACCTGGATCCATTCTATCGCTTTACACATTCTGTTGAGGCCCATGGGATAAATTCCACTGAAGACTTCGCTGTTGATTTCTCATGCACACACATATGGGGCACATGAGTGGTCACCACTAGTGCATGTAACTGGCTGCTTGCTCTTGTAGGTTTGGACCTCCTGCACACAGACAGTTCAGCAGTGGCGCCACATACCCGAACATTCCCCTCTCTTCTCCCTTACCCGGAGTGCCCAAGCCTGTCTTTGCTACAGTTGATGGACAGGAAAAGTTTGAAACCAAAATTACCACGCTGGACAATGGGCTTCGTGTGGCATCTCAAAATAAGTTTGGACAATTCTGTACTGTAGGAAGTAAGTTCTATTGACCTATTCAAGGTGGGCTCTCTGTTTGACAGCTGTAATTAGCACGCCCATCATGGACTACTCACAGGGGAGTCTTGTTAATTTTGAAAGTTTATCCAAGATGTGAATGATGGCATATTTGGAGGTGATGTGTGGGGTATTCCTCGCCCCCCATTTTACTTTTCTATAATTTTAGAAGGTTCTGTCATGTATAAATATACATTAATGTGTGTGTGTGTGTAAGACCATCACCTAGGATAGCAGATGTGTTTATTGTCCCCATGTAGTAATGACTGGCCAAGTTACAACCATGGTTTTGAAAGCTTTCTGTTGATTAAATATGTTTTGACTATCTGACATAACCTTTCAATTTTCTTCTTATTACCAGTTCTTATAAATTCAGGATCACGATATGAAGCAAAGTATCTTAGTGGAATTGCCCATTTTTTGGAAAAATTGGCATTTTCGGTCAGTTTCTAATTTGTAATTTTTATGACTTAATTTTTTCTCTATTTAGAACTTGTATTAGTTAATGGTTCTATTGATGCTAAGTCATTGAGACATATATAATTTTGTGTGTTTGAAAGCAAAGGTAAACTTTTCTTAGTATTTCTTGGGTTTTGGATTGCTTACTTAAGCTTTCTTATTTTTATAGTCTACTGCTCGATTTGACAGCAAAGATGAAATTCTGCTTACCCTGGAAAAACATGGTGGTATCTGTGACTGCCAGACCTCAAGGTATTGTGTGTCCATGTGGAGCTGTCCTCTTCATCCTTGACCATACTCTTGGAACCCCTTGAATCAGAGAGGTCACAGAGATTAGCAGCAGGCCTGATGGAGTGCGGGGGACAGAGAGCATACCGTGCTTGTTCCTTCCTTCCCTGCCACCCTGGGAACTTGTAATTGTCCAGGCCTTGACCTGTGAGGGATGCTAAACTAGACAGGCAGGCCCCTGACAGCTGTCTGAAGCTGGCATCTTTCCATGTGGAGGTAGTCTTTATTTCTGCCAGCTAGTTATTTAGCTGGAGAGACTTCATCTATGGAGAGAGGGGAGTCAACTGTATCTGGTCCATTGTATCTTTGGAAAGCCTCACTGTGGGCATTTGTGACTCCTCTGATCTAAATCCAGCACCTTCCGTTATGGCTTATTTCCTTCCAGAGACACCACCATGTATGCTGTGTCTGCAGACAGCAAAGGCTTGGACACCGTGGTGGGCCTGTTGGCCGACGTGGTTCTGCACCCCTGCCTGACAGGTGTGGCTTTGTGACTGGGTGGTTAGGGGGAGCATCTCTCAAAAAACATTAAAGGGTTTGCTGAAATTCTCTTTCATCCTATGTGTAGACACCTAATGTCATCCATGCCTACAGAAATTTCCCTGGCATGGTCTCCATTGTTCCCTGGCCTTGCAAATGGTTGGACCTAGCGATTCCTGTTAGGATCCCAGAGGGAACAGCTGCTGGTCCCCAGCAGCTACCCTTTGCTCAGTGTCACAGCAGCCTGGCCTCATGTCATGGAGCCTGACTCAGTTGGTGTCTGTTTCCTAAGTGCCATCACATCCACCTTGTGTCACCCCAAGTGTGTGTTTTGGAACAGGCAGCAGGTGAGGCAGCTGAGCTTGGAGCAGGTCCAAGGGACTGCAGAACAGAACAAGACAAGAGACCGGGGTCTCTAATATTCATCTGCACGGCTCCCTTTAAACACAGGTGCTCTGAGGCTTCCCCTAAGAGCTGATTACAGCACCTGCCAGGCTCAGCTGCTTGGGCTTAGTGCTGTCCTCTGCCTTGTTGGTTCAGACCAAACCTTTGTTTGGATTATTGCAGATGAAGAAATTGAGATGACGAGGATGGCTGTCCAGTTCGAACTTGAGGACCTGAACATGAGACCTGACCCAGAACCACTGCTCACTGAGATGATTCATGAAGTAAAATAGGAATCCCCATGTGCCTCTCCCTGCTGTTGGCCTTACAGGTGGCGAGGCTTACAGAACAGGCTTAGCTCCTTAGTCTTTTGAGACAGTTGCTATACTGTTCATGTTTGGTCTTGAACTCATAATCTCCATGCCTCAGCTTCCTGAATGCTAAGATAGACGTGTGCCACCCCTCAAACAAACAGGGCAAACCGTAGATAATGCCCAGCTTATTTTGTCACAGATGTGGCAGTAGACCATGTTGGGGAGTCCTGCCTCAGGGGACCTGAAGTTTTCTTTCTCACTTTTGTTTATTTTCCTTTTCCCTGCCGCAGGCTGCTTTTAGGGAGAACACAGTGGGCCTGCACCGGTTTTGCCCTGCAGAAAACATAGCGAAGATTGATCGAGAAGTGCTGCATTCTTACCTGAAGAACTATTACACCCCCGACCGCATGGTGCTTGCTGGAGTGGGAGTAGAGCACGAGCACCTGGTAGAATGTGCCAGAAAGTACCTCCTGGGAGCTCAGCCTGCCTGGGGAGCTCCTGGAGCTGTGGATGTTGACAGATCAGTGGCACAGTACACTGGGGGGATTGTCAAGGTAACTCAGCAGGAAGGCGAGCAGGGCTCGTGCTATGTATTCTCCGGATATATGTGTGTGTGATTCCGCTTAGTGTACCATCCAGCACTAACAGCGTGAGGACATCCCTTGTTCAAGGCCAGAGTTGACAGGGCTGAGGTCACCTTGTGTCTATTTGCTTAGTAGAAGATTTGCTGGTCTTGCTGACACGTGTCTGGTTGGTTACAGGTGGAGAGAGACATGTCCAATGTCAGCCTTGGCCCAACCCCAATTCCGGAGCTCACGCACATCATGCTGGGACTAGAGAGCTGTTCCTTCCTGGTGAGTCCAGGTATAATCCAGGTGCATCAGTAGGGCCATGCCATTGTGACTGACTGCTGTGACTCTAAATTCCACAGGAGGAGGACTTCATCCCCTTTGCTGTGCTGAATATGATGATGGGAGGAGGGGGTTCCTTCTCTGCTGGAGGGCCTGGCAAAGGCATGTTCTCCAGGCTCTACCTCAACGTGCTCAATCGGTAGGTACCGCTGGGCTACTGCTGCTTGTGCATGGACTGTGCTGACACCTTCCAGCCATCCTGCCGCCGTCACCCAGACACAATATATCCCCCCCCACAGGCACCACTGGATGTACAATGCAACCTCCTACCACCACAGCTATGAAGACACAGGCCTCCTGTGCATTCATGCCAGTGCAGACCCAAGACAGGTAAAGACTCATCCCTCTCGTCCCACCCCAGTCTACACTCCAGAGCAGTAGCGCAGCTCTAGGTGTGGCAGCAGGAGTCTGCTACAGCTCACCCTGTCTCGTGCTCCTTTACAGGTTCGAGAAATGGTGGAAATCATCACAAAGGAGTTTATCCTAATGGGCAGAACAGTGGATTTGGTGAGGCCTGGAGCATCCCTTGCACTGGAATCCACTTAACTCACACACCTGAAGGAGCCACAGGCTGGCCATTCTACTGTGGAGTCAGTCTCCTGAGTTCTATCCTAAGGACAGTCTGTCCCTCTCAGTGGTTCTTATAGACGAGCCATGAGTTAATGCAGCAGTATACAAGATGAGCAATAATGTGGGGCCTTTTCTAGACCTTTCTTTGGCTCCATTTTATGTTGGAACCCAAGGTTGTTATTTTTCTTTGAGACAGGGTTTCTCTGTGTAGCCCTATCTGTCCTGGAACTCGCTCTGTAGACCAGGCTGGCCTCAAATTCAGAAATCCACTTGCCTCTGTCTCCAGAGTGCTGGGATTAAAGATGTGGGCAGCCATGCCTGGCTTTAGTTTTTGGTATCTTGATATTTGGAAGTTTAGCACATTTTTAGGTGTTACAGGTTTGCACAGCACTAGTGCAGTGGATGTGGTGGAGCATGTACTTTCCCTTCCCTTCTTTCTGCATAGTGCACGTTTTCTTCAGTGATCACATGCCATATACTGTCTTCTTAAGGAAAAAAGGCAGCATTATTGAAAAATAAAAAGCATAGCAAGGCAAGGTAATACAAATACATACCTGTGACCCCAGCGGCAGGATGTCATGAGCACAAGGTCAGCCTAAACTAATATATAAAACAAATCAAAGTTTGGGGGTATGGCTCCGTGGTAGAGAGCTTGCTAGGTGTGCTCAAGGCCCTGGGTTCTACTCCCCAGGCGAGTGCTGACATCCTCAGCTTGGTCTGTCCCCTTGTGATCCTGATTCTTTGGCGCCACATTTGAAGTATACACTTGGCCAGAGGCTCGGCTGTTGTTTCTGTTGCCTCCTGTGCTCTGGATTCTGAGCAGCCAGAGTCTTTTGTTTCATCAACATCCTCTGGTTTCCTGTGTAGCTTCCCCATTGCGTGCTGCTTTCCTGTGATTCCAGAGATTGGGCATGTGTCTGTCTCGGGTGTGCTGAAGGCCTTTCCAGGGCCGTTCCTCCAATACTCAGGAGGTGTACCAGACTGGAAACTAGACTGGGAACAGCATCTCCACTCTGCCCGTCTTTGGGTACATGGAAGCCGTTTTACTGGGACATGTTCTAGTCAACCCCTTTGCCAGCATGAACCGGCTGTAGGTGACTGGTGGTGTTTCGCCCTCAGGTAGAGCTAGAGCGGGCTAAGACGCAGCTAATGTCCATGCTCATGATGAACCTGGAGTCCAGACCTGTGATCTTCGAGGATGTGGGGAGACAGGTGTTGGCTACACATTCAAGAAAGTTGCCCCATGAGCTATGCACACTCATTCGTGAGTACACACAAAAGCCTGGGTTGAACTATTTAAGACTGCCCTGGAGTCTTAAATAGACAGATGGGTCCATTGTCTGCCACAGCACAAGCTCTGCCTTTCCCAACAATGTGGCAGGGAAGACCTGGGTAGAACTCAGATTCTGTTCTGAGGTCCATCCTGGACCAGCTAGGCTCCTCAGCCCTGGGAACTAGGTGGTACTAGTGGAGCAGTGTCCCTGGGTTGGATACTGCTCATTGCAGGCTCTGCCCTGTGGCTCTGGCAGTGTGTCTCATGGCTTGTGTTTAGTTTGTTTGCAGTCTTCTGGAATTGGGTATAAAGCTTGGTACAGAACTGTAGGTGGGGGTAGCTTGGGTACTGTCACCTGTCCTGAAGACACTGAAAACAATCTGCATGGGCTTGGAATCCTCATGGTGTGGGACAGGTGCTTGTCCTGCCCTTCTCTAAAAAATTAGTTGACCTGGTTGTAGTTCTGGATGGATGGATTGCTGGGACCCCTTTGAAGACCAGGCTGTGTGTGCATGGCTGCCACGATGACGTAGTACTTAAGGATGTGGTCTGGAAAATAGAGTGGACTTAGGACAACTCATTCTGTCTAAACATGAGACTCCTCTTGGGGTGGCTATGCCCTCCCTTGTTGGATTGTTTTTTAAGTCTTACAGACTCACAGCTCAGATCGACCTCAAACTCTGGGTCATTCAGCTCGGACTGAGCATGCCTCACCCTGCCTGGCCACCTTTGTGTGTGTGAAATAGTGTTTCTGCTGCTGCACAGGGGATTTGAGACAGGGTCTTAATGTAGCCCAGGCTGATGCCAGTCCTGACCCTCCTGCCTCTCCCTCCTAAGTACTGGGATGACAGGTACTCAGCACTCCATGCAACTAAAAACTTGTTTTAAGCCACTGTAGTTCCCCACCTAATGGAAATTTATTGTGACTTTGCTCTGACTCACTCCTGGTTAGTCCAGCTATAGCTGAGTTTCTGGATCCCTCAGCAGCGCCCACCTCCACCCCCAGTTGTGGAGATGTAGTAGATCAGGGCTCCTTGGCCTGCCTTTGTGGATGGAATGCACACACAGCCTGGGATAAAGATGGAGACTCTGCTTTTCTCCTTACTGCCTCTTGCTCTCCGTTGTAGGCAATGTGAAGCCAGAAGATATCAAGAGGGTTGCTTCCAAGATGCTCCGAGGGAAGCCTGCTGTGGCCGCCCTGGGTGATTTGACTGACCTACCCACCTATGAGCACATCCAGGCAGCGCTGTCCAGCAGAGATGGGCGCCTGCCCAGGACATACCGACTCTTCCGGTAGAGTCCCTGCAGGGCCCTTGAGGGCAGGCTGCGGAGTGTGCTTCTGTGCATGGTATTGTTGGTGTGGACGCTGTATAAGGATGACTGGCTCTGTGAGCAGCGCCAACAGTGAGACTTGGAAAGCTTGAATGAAAGTTACTGTTGACACTGCACCTGTGTCTCAAGCACAAGTGGCTTCTCCGTCATCTAACAAGTGTTCTTTACTAAAGAGTGCCTGTCTGGCCACTAGAGATTCTAGAACCAGGAAGGCTGGGGAGTAGGGCGCAGACTTGAGGTCAGAGTAGAAGCCCCAGTGCTCCAGGTAGATAAAGCATTGCAACCTAAAGCATACAGGGTCTCCCAAGTATTAGGATCACTGGTGCTGCCATACTCATTCTTCTTCCTTTAAGTAGGACCTCACAGCAGAGCTCTGACTGGCCTGGACCTCAGTATATAAACAACCAAGCTGGCCTCCATTACTGGGAATCCAAATATGAGTCACCATGCCAGTTGTGCCTTCCAGTTATTTACAAAACCCCATTTCTAGTTTCCCACCTCATCTGCACTGACTTCAGTGTTTGACTCTAACTGAAATTCCCTGGGTAAACATAATGGCCGTCTAAATGTAAGTGGTCGTCACTGCACTTTGCCCCCATCCCAAGACTTGATGTTGTTCATCTCAGGTCAAACCCGGAATATTCAGGATTACCTTAGTCCTTTCTAAAGGGCCAGAGAATATCCACAAAGAAGCACCAAAGGCGGTGGTGGTGCACACCTTTAATCCTAGCAGGAGGTAGAGGCAGACAGACTCTGTGAGTTAGAGGTCAGCCTGGTCTACAAAGTAAGTTCCAGGGCAGTCAAGTGTACCCAGAGAAGCTTTGCCTTGAATGCTGCCCGCCCCCCTCCAAGAAAAAAAAAAAAAAAGCACCAAACCTTATTCAAATCAGCAATAGTAGAAGCAGCTGAGGCAGAAAGACAGCCTGTGGGAGGTTGGGGACGGACGGACATGGGAACATTTTGAGCTTCATTACCACAAATCTCAATGGGAATTTGCAGCTCGCTGATTTGACATTCTGACACTTTCCACATACATTTGAGTGGTTTATTGAAGCAGGAAGGCCTGGCTTTGCTGACATCCCACATTCTAGAAGCTGAAGCTGGCAAGTTTTATCTCATTTGTTAGCATGTTTTACTGGAGTCCCAACTGGCCACTTTTCCCAGCTGTTGCCACTTCTGGCCATGAGCAGGGACAACACCTAGCAGAAGGACCTGGGATGGGGCTGAGTAGCAGGTGACAGGTAAGACTAAAATTGTTGCCTTTGCTGGGAGGTCATAGCACACACATTTAACCTCAGCACTCGAGATGCTGAGGCAGGCAGATCTCCAAGTCTGAGGCCAGCCTGGTCTACAAAGTGAGTCCCAGGACAGCCAGAGCTATCAAACAGAAACCCTGTCTTTTAATTTAAAAAAAAAAAATGCTGCTTTTGACTTCTATTGCCCTTTAAAAACCTGGGGTTGTCCTGAGGCCCTGGGATGCATGCAGACTACTTCTTCGAAGGTTCAGTCTTTGGCCAAAAAGAGCTCACGATTAAATATATGCATTTATTTAAAAATATAAATATGGAAAAATAAATTATTTAGAAGACTAGAGTGGATGCCCCTAGGTGTCTGTACATTCAAGGCTATGTCTCTGGGATGGGGCAAGACCGAAAGCTGTGATGAGTTCTAAGCCGCCTTCAAGGTTTAGTCCACCAAGGTGCTGCCTGTGACACCACTTCTAATGCCATTCTGGGCTAGCAGCACAAAAGCAATGGTCTGAAGCTTCTAAAACCACGAGCTGATAACAGCTGTGGAGGAGAGGCCCCTTTCAACTGGAGGTTGGGAGCATGGAGCCAGGATGTAGAACCCAAAGCCTGCCAAAATGCTGGGTATGTTCCAGAAGTGACTGGCTTTGGCCTCTGAATTCTAGGTCTTGGAAGGTTTTAGGACCATTGGTTATCTAAGCTTCAGAGGTTGCCTGATCCCTCCCCAGAAGAGGAAGGAGCTGGCGTGAGAACAGGGACAAGGGGTTAAAAGGCTGCAGTGCCCCATGGCAGGAAGTTGGCTGTTCCTGTGGGGAGGGTGTAGGGCTGCTTAGGGCAAGCCTCACTGTCTACAGCTTTTGTGTGTGGCTGCTGCTTGGTGGTATATGCCCCGCTCAGAACAAATCCCTGCCATGTGCCTGTGGGAACATGGCGTAAAGAACAGGCCTGCCCCGACATAAGCATGGCCTGGCCAGCCCACTGCTGTCCTGAGGGGTGGGATCTGTAGCGAGAGCAGGAGAGCCCCTAGCCATGGTTTATTAGACCGACCCCAACATGGCAAGAGACACCAAAGCACAAGCCCAATCTCTTTCCAGTGGCCTTGGTCCCCAAGCTGCAGTGGCCAGTACTCGTGACTTCAAGACACCGTGCAGACAGCACTAGAGCTCTGATTTTTCATTGTCTGCTGTTTCTGAAGTTCTTTTGAAATCCGTCTTTTAATTCCTATCAAGTACAGTTCTCGGTCAAACTTGCCAGCGGCTAAAGGGATGCTGTGGAAAAAAGACCCATTAGAAGAACTGGCCCAAACTTCACCCAGCTGCACACCTGCTGAGCCCCATATAGGTGGACTACTATGTAGTTATAAGGTTATGGTTCATCCATCCCATCTAGGCTGCCCTACCCCCAACCACAATCCTGCGTGTGGAATACTGCTCCAGGAGCTTGCTCAACCTCAGGGACCTGAGGTCATAGAACAAGATGCTGGTTCATGGAACCCCAAAGGTTAGCAACTTAAGGGTTACAGGGAAACGCTGAGAACTGCTAGGACCTAGGCTCAGATAAAAACAACTTCATGTTAACCTAGGGGTTTGTTGGCACCCTGTCTGTCCAGTATGTTACAACATGAAACAGTGACCTGCTCCTCCACATCTAAGCCTGTCACCCCTCCCAAAAAAGTCCCCCCATCTACAACTGGTAAGGGCTCCCAGAGCCCAGCCAGCTCTGAGGGTGAGCAGCGACTTACTTGTCTCTCCCTGGCCTCACTTTCACCCGGAACAGGCCATACACAGGACGGTGGTCTGAAGTCTTGATCCCAGGGCAAGAGGAATACTTCATGGGACAGATGTCACCCTTGTGGCGGCTTTTGTATAAGACCCGGTCCTTCAGAAGAGATGGTGAAGCAGGAGCCTTACTGTTAGGAATCTAAAGACTTGTGTGGATGACATCTATTTCCTTCTAGCCCTCTGAAAGCAGTGGGGACCTGCCTTGCCTCAAGGATGTCCCATGGTCTCACCAGGTGTCTGGTGGAAAAGCCAGGCCAGGTGCATGTGTCTCACTTGTCCTGTCCTAGCACCAGGCAGATGAACCCAGGTGTGAATCCGACTACAACCTGCTTTTGAGGGGTGGCTGGCTTAGCCCTGTAATACACTCAGACTACCCTCCACCCCCAATAAGCTGTGAGTGTGTGGTCACTGGCCTCAGGCCCGGAGCTGAGTTTTAGGCTGGCTAAGCTGGCTGGCTGGCTGCTAGTCCCACACCATTTGACATGAGCTACGGCTGGCAGGAATCCTGAGGCCAGGCTGAAGTTACATACCGTGTAGGAAGGTGTCCTCTGCTTAGAGGTGCTGTCGTAGGTGTCCTTCCCAATGTCAAACTTGTAGGATGGGAGAAAGTGAATTTCCGCCTCCTCGAAGCCCCTGAAGATGGACCCTGTAACACAGGAGAGTTCAGGGAGGGCCTGCCACACCTAAGGAGCTGCTCCCCAGGCCACTTACCTTTCTTCATCTCCCGAGTGAGCTGGTCATGTTGCAGGAGTGCCAGTACATCCACCTCTGGTTCCTGCTTCAGGAAGGCCTCCACAGCCACTCGTCCACCACTCAGGCGGAAGTTGAAGTCCCCAAACCAGAACACCTCATCAAAGCGGGTAGTGACATCCCCTGGGCACATGTGGGAGAATACATTGGTTCTGGCCTCCCCTCACCTGCTGTGGCCTGCTGACAGGTGGGTGAGCTGTAGGCCAAGCAGTAAGTCCTCCTTTGTGTGGGTCCCCTTCCCCACAGAATCAACTGGGTAGCAGCTCCCCCAGGAAGAGGCTAGTGAGGGGAGCAGCCAAGGTCAACAGCTGCAGAGGACTGGGAAGACATCTGTGTCCAGGTGCAAAGGACAGCCTTGATGCATGCAGCAGGCTAGCCATAGCCTAGCAGCTCACAGCTCAGCGAGGGCCAGGAAGTGCTCAGCGGTGAGGACTTGTGGACAATGATGGCCCTGGGCAAGCCACTGGACCTTGCGGGCTCCCATCTGCCCAGGTGCAAACCTAGTAGCTGTTTCAGTAGTGAGGACTTCATGATTCTCAAAAGCCCTCCAGTGGTTTCAGCTAAGCTGCCAGGGGCCAAGGGACAGAAACAGTCACGTGTGGAGTGCCTTGTGCAACTACAACCCTCACCTGCACTGGAGCGGTAGGGGTTCGTGTCTGGCACATTCCGGGGCAGGGCTAGGGCTTGGATGGTTCTGCTGTAGTCCAGCAGCCGCTCGGCTACCTTCCCATCTCCAGCTATGAAGCAAACAGAGTAGACATCTGAGCTTCTCTGAAAAACCTGCCCCACACCCAGACTGTCCCCCACTACCACCCAGTGGCCGGCTGCAGTACTCTGCCTCGGAGGACTGTGGTGACAGAAGTGAATGTCCCGAGTGTCAGGTCCTACTGAGGCAGAGCCCACCATGACCCACCCACAGAAGCCTGTGAGGAGGGGAAGCTGCTCCGAAGCCAGCATCAAGACCACATGACTGGTTTGCAAACACTTACAGGTAAAGTGAGATGTGATGAAGAGGAAGGAGGTGCCGAAAAAGGTGAAGCTGACGCCCAGGGCCCCCTTGGTCTTGATCTGAGACACGATGCGTGTAGTTACTGTGGAGCACTCGACCTCTGCACGGCAAGGAACGGGGGTTCAGGGCCTTCACGAGCACAGCTACAGTAGGTGCGCTTGTGTATTCAGACATGGGAACCTCAGAGGCTGGATCCCAGGCATGAGTGCACACTGCCAGAGAGGTTGCAGTTTGCTGTCAGGGGACCCGTATGTGGACAGGAGCTACATGTTATTAGAGCCTGTATATGGAGGTACCTAGATTCCTGGGAGTAGCAGATACAGAAGCCATGGCATGGGCTAGCAAGGCGTCAACCCTGAAGACCTGAACTCATATCTACAGTGGAAGAACTGATCCAGGTTGGCCTCTGACCTCCACATGTGCTCTATGGTGCAGGCACACACATGGGGGAAAGAGAGGGAGGGAGAAACGGAAAGAGGAGTGGTGGGGGAGAAGTCCCGTGGTGGCACCTACCTGAACAGAACCAAATGAGGTCCCTGCGGATAAACAGGGACATGTACAGGACCCCATGTGCTGCTGATGACAGCAACACATACTGAGGGCCCAGTGTCTCCTGCAGGCGTGTCTCCCACTCTCGCCTGTGAGGAGGAAGCAGGTTATATAAGGGCGTGGCCTTTAGCGCCACCTTCTCCCATCTGCTGCCCAGAGAGCCCCTGGAAGCATTCCTAGGGGCCCCTCAAATTGGGCCTTGTACTGATGATAATGACAAGGTTAATGGCATCTATGTGCGCTGTGAGACCCTTCAGACTGGCTGGCTGCAGGCCCAAACCTCCCTCTGATGGTATGTGCAGACTTCCGATCCCACCTAAGACCCACAAGAACTGTCAGAGATCTGCAGGCTGGCAGGCGTGGGCCCCATCACTACTTGGGGCCTCTGAGGACAGGTTCTCTTCCCCTAGAGCATGCAGCAGGCCTGCTGCTCTCCTCACAGGCCAGGGAACCCCACAAGTTGCAGTTAGGAGCACATAGCTATAGGATCACTTCCTAGGGACAGCAGTCAGGGTACCATGGGATATGTGGCCAGAACTGCAGCAGCCCAGAACCTGTGGATTGAACCAGGCATCTTGGTTGCTTCTGTGCTCCCTTGGCCAACTACAGACAAAACCTGAAACACCACTGATTTTAGGTACATTTCAGTGAGGCATGGGGGCTGCTATCTAGCCCCATATGAGGTCCCACCCTTCAGGCTTACAGGTCAATCTCAGTGAACTGTCCACGCAGGATGGTGGAGGCCCCAACAGTGGAGGCTGTACGGTGCCTCACCTGTCAGAGCAGCCCTCCTGAACGCCAATGACATACAAGTCCTGAGTATAGTCGGCCTCCGTGGGGAGCAGAAACTCATCCAGGCTCGCTGGGAGCTCCTGCAGTGAAGAGCCACAGAACAGTCAAGACCACGAGGCTCCCTCAGGTCTGAGGGCTGAAGCTGAAGAGCAAGCCCCTGCACAGTCATCTTGAGGCGGTCACAGTCCAGCCTCTTTTCAAAGAGAAGTTGTGTATGGCTGTGGGTTTGTTCTCCCAGGGAACTGTGACATGTCAGATACCTCAGTTTCCCTCTTTGAGCCCAAATTTGTTCACTTACTACCTTCCAGCCCGGGTCCCACCTTACCAGGTACCCTAGATTGTGCTGCATGCCACCGGGTCTGATTATCCTCCCAGGTGCATGTCCGACCCTGGTCCTTCACAAGGGCTCACAGAGATGGAGGCAGCCTGCTTGGCTATCTTTATGCCCGTGTTGTGACCAGTAGACTGTGCTGGGGTCTCTGGGAATAGGTTCCCCAAGGACATGGAGCCTTACCTCACTGTGACCCCTCTCACCTTCTGGCCCTGCATGTTCCAGGTGGCCACGAAGAGAGCCATGTTCCGGTCTGGGAAGTACCTGGCCAGTTCATCGGCTCCTAGCAGGGCTCCACTGGCCATAAGACTTCCCTCCAGATAGCTCCTGCAAAAAGAGACAAGTGAGCAGCTAGCCTCAGCGACACCAAAGCAAGCAGAAGCTCCTCTGCTCAGGACAGGTGCCTTTGGAGCCACTTTCTCCAAAGCTATCAGTCCTACAAGCCATGTGAACCCTGAGGACAACACTGACATGCCAGGCATCGGTGTCACCTCTGGAGCTGGGAATTCCAGTGCAGGACTGCTTCCGTAGCAAGTCACTGTGACATCGCCCCGATTTCAGTGGAATGAAGCCTGTCAAGCTAAGACACAGTCCTAACAGTGTGATGAATCTCTTGACCTACCCAGCACACATGTGTGCACCGTGTACTAGAGGGCCTGCCCAAGCATCCTGGACAGAGATACTGGACATACGCAGTCCTGTGGGTGACTGGGTCTCTGCCCTATCACTCAACTTCATTGCCACAGCACAAAAGCACAAAAACCCTTAGAACTGATGTGGCTGTGTGCCCAGAAAGATGTGTTTATAAGGGCAACGACGTTTGAATCTCAGGGTCGGAGGGATGGACAGGCTAAATCATGGACAGAGATGGACAGTTAAGAGCACAGGCTGTTCTTCCTGAGGATCTGGGTTCGACTCTCAGCACCCATGTGGCAGCTCACAGCTGTCCATAACTCTAGCTCCAAGGAGTTTGACACCCTCACACACACAACATGTAGGCAAAACACTAATGCACATGAAATATAAATAAATAGATCATTTAAAAAAATCCGAATCTCATATAATTTTTCATGCACTGAGAAATATTAGATTTATTCTCCAGACCTTTAAGAAATGAAGTCCTGCTGGGTAGTAGTGGCAACCTCCTTTAGTCCCAGTGCTCTGGAGGCAGAGGCAGATGGATTTCTGTGAGTTTGAGGCCAGCCTGGTCTATAAAGTAAGTACCAAGATGGTCTGGGTTGTCTTTCTAAAAACAAACAAACAAACAAAAAATCAAAATTATTTTATTTGTATGAGTATTTTGCCTGCATGAGTGTATGTGCACCATGTGCATGCCTGGTGCTTTTGGAGGTCAGAAGGTGGCATCAGGCCAACCTGGAACTGGAGCTATGATTGTGAGTCACCACATGGGTGCTGGGAACCAAACCCAGGTCCTCTGCAAAAACAGCTAATGCTCTCAGCGACTGAGCCATCTAATTACCCCTCACCCTATTTTTAGTGATGCTAGAGATGGAACCCATGTCTTCATGCATGCTACATGAGCTACCTCTTCCCTGAGCTACATCCTGGGCCTTTTTCAATTTGTTTGTTTGTTTTGTTTTGAGACAATGTGTTGTTGTGCCCAGGCTGACCTTCCACTGGGGAGCTTCCTGCCTCTGTCTCCCAGTAGCCTCTGTCTCCCACAATGCTTAGCCTACCCTACTGGTTTTGCCAAATTTGCTAAGAATGCAAGAACAAAACCATGTTCCTCTGAAGATCAGATTATAACCAAGTCCCTAAGATCAATGGCCGACTGAAGCCTGAACCATGCTCCTGAACCCCACTGGACAGAACATCTGATGGTACAGCTCTGTACACTTTCAGGAGGGAAACCGGGCTGTCACAGTGAGGGACCTTTTTGATCTCACCTCCAAGATGAATCGGTCACTAATGTGCTAGCTGGGTTCAGACACCAGTTGGGGTGGAGCAAATTTCTGAGTCACATATCATTAGGAAAGGACCACTGAACAAAGGCAGGCCCAGGCTAGTCTTCAGTCACCAGCCCCTAAGCCTGTGCCCCTCCTTATAGGCTGACTCTGCTTCCTCCAACCTAGGGAGACACAGTTTGTCCAGGTGGCTACAGAATGTGACTGGATAGCGGCAGGGTAGAAGCTCACTGCTGTGCCCAGCCTTAGGAAACACAGCTTCTTCCCAACCCATTTAGGGGAGGATACCCCAGATCTTCTGGTGAAAAGTGGCATTAATCCAAGGGGGTAGATACTTGTGAATTCATGGCCAGCCTGGTCTATATAGTAAGGCCTTGTCACACACATACAAAGTGGCAGGCGAGGCCTGTGAAATGACTCGGTAGGTGAAGGTGCTTCCCACCAACCCGATGGCGTAAGTTTGATTCCCAGGACCCACATGGTAGGAAAGAATCAACCCCCACAAACTGCGGTTGTGAGGTGTGCAGCAGAACTGGACAAAGTCCCTTGCTGCAGAATAATCTTTTTTGTACACTGTGAAGATGTGTCTTTGCCAAGGTGCCTTCTGATTGGTTTAATAAAGAGCTGAATGGTCAATAGCTAGGCAGGAAGAGGTTAGGTGGGACTTCTGGGCAGACAGAAAGAAGAGAAGAATCGAATCTCGAATCTAGGCTTGGGAGGGACGCCAGAGAAGATGGAGAGGAAGCAGGACATGCAAGGGGAAAGGTAAAAGCCATAAGCCACATGTTAGTACACAGATTTATAGAAATAGGTTAATTTAAGTTATAAGAGCTAGTTAGAAACAAGTCTAAGCTAATGCCGAGCTTTCATAATTAATAATAAGTGTATCATGATTTGCGGGTTGGTGGTCCAAGAAAGCCTACTACAGCCCCTCCTCCATTACTTCCCAGGGATGCAATAGGGGCCCACGGACATCACTCAGACATTTTCACTTCCTGTGGATTGCCAAGGAATAATGCTTTGAATGTGGTAGATACAGTACTCTTTAAAAGACCCCTGTGGGACTGGAGAAATGGCTCAGTGGTTAAGAGTGCTTGCTGCTCTTTCAGAGCATCCAAATTTGGTACCCAGCACTCACATCAGACAGCTCACAACTGCCTATAACTCCAGCTCTGGAGAATCCAACTTTTGACCTTTGCAGTCACCTGTACTCACGTGGACATACCTACAAGTCCATGTGTACACATGCACACATGTGCTACACCTAATTAAAAATAATAAAAATATTTTAAATATTTAAAAGGATTGCTGGGGGGCTGGAGAGATGGCTCAGTGTTTAAGAGCAGTGACTGCTCTCTTCCAGAGGACCCAGGTTAATTCCCAGCACCCGCATGGCAGCTCACAACTGTCTGTAACTCAAGTTTCAGTGTTGGCCTACGGATAACTAGACGTGCTAGAAGGGTACTAGGGCGTGTCGAGAGGAGCCAGGTTTGGTGAAGAGGTGTGGCATAGAGGGCCCTACCTGCAGGCCTTCCTAGGGGTGCAGGGAGTAAGGCCTACCTTCAGCAGCTAAAGGAGACTGAATGGTGCTCCCCACCTCCCAGCCCCTAAGAATGCGACCCTCTTTGTAAGCAGTCTGTGCAGATACAAGCACCGCAGCATCTCCAGAAGAGGGCCCTGAAGTTAGCATGGCTGGAGCCACTGACTGGGAAACTTAGAAGTGACCACCTAGAGATGCAGGCAGGAACTACACTGCCAGAGATCACAACACTCTCAGAGGAAAGGTAGGTTCTTTCGGCTCTCTAGATCGAGAAAGCCCTGCTGACACTCCATTCCATATTCTGCCGCGAGGTCTCTTGTATGAAACCTTCTAACCCATAGTCACCCGTTAGTCAACCTTCTAACCCATAGTCACCAGCTCTGCAGGAGCTGTCTCCAGATTCTCCTTGCTCTCACTTCCGCACCCACCTATGTCCCACAACATGGTTACGGGAGAGACAGGCAGGATGCACCTTACAGGCCAAGAACAAGACCCCAGAAGGCGGCCAGCTTGGAAAATGAGGCTCTAGATTTGGGCAGGTCATGCACTGGTCCTGTGCCCCCAGTGGTGGATGTGGCTCATGGATTCAGGAGAGGGGAGTCAGCACTGAGAAGTCATAGGCAGAAAGGGCTCATCTTGCTTACACTCACACTCTTTTCAGTGTAAGTCCATACAAGTTCATTACTGGAGTCGGAAAGACTAAGCATAAGAAACAGAAGTAGGTCCTGTACATTCTTGGGATGTTATGGCATGTTAGAGGCCTCGGTGGACATCAGCAAATCCCCACCACAGACACTGGGACCCTGTGGCTCAATACAGTGTGGAGGCTCTCCCAAGGGCATTAGGTAAACTAGTCAAGCCTGTGGCCTTGGGATGTCACTTGGTCTAGTAGTTTAACTGGTGTCTAAATGTCCTGGTAAAATTCTGACCCATGGTCCACTGTTATGGGACAGTACTCAACCCTCCTTCATCCACTAAGAGTTGCTGAGTGCTCCTCACGGGTAGTTGTTCAATAAAAGCATAGCTAAAGAAACCTGGGACCTTCCACATAGAAAAAAACAAAGGGACCAATTTAGACACTGAGAAAGCTTCCCGACAGGATGCGAGGAAGTACAAACTACGGGAGCAATGATAGCAAGATGGGTGTGTCCTCACCTGCCTACGTACGGGATGAGGTAGAACGATCTACGTTTACAGGTTTGCAGTGTCTGTGGATGACACTGAGCCACGAAGGAAAGGTTCTGGAAAGATACAAACAGAAGGAGAAAGGCGCGATGTCTGAAAGAGGATGGGAGTCCTGCCTTATCTTCCATTTCCAAGTCTTCGGCATCCTCTATGCGAACCTGTTCACATGGTCCCTGTGCGGCTAGCCTTCTTCGCTTACCTATTTACATAGACAGTGGTCCACTATGTAGCTCAGGCTGGCTTTGAACTTGTAATTATCCTACCTCTGCCTTTCAAGCGCTGGGATTACAAGCACGAGCCACCATGCCTGGCTTAGTATGCCCTTGGCCTGATTAGACAGAGGTCTCTAGCTGACAGCCCCACCCCCAAGTTCCCCACCACTCCCTCCAAGAATCCTACCTGCTTCTGATGTCCTTGGTGCGGATGGGAGCCAGAAGGCTGAAGGAAGATCTAGCGGAGTGAATGGAGTGGTCGTCACCAGCCAGGGGGCTCCGGGGCCTGCTAGGGCCCAGGCTGCTGTGGGTCCTGACCAGCCTGGTCTGCATGCGGAGCTTGTAGTCAGCATGCTCGGGGTCAACCTTGTTGGCTGTTCTCAGAGAGCTGGAGGCTATGCTGAGGTCCATGGCGGGTGGTGTGTGTGCAGCATGCAAACTTGCCAACCTGGGGGAGCCCCCACTTGGGGAGGCCTCTCTGTGCAGGAGGTCCAAGGAGGTGCTGATCATTCCAGGAAGACAGTCACTCCACAAGGATGGGCTCCCACCCTCACTGCCTGTGGCCCTTCGGGGCTTAGGGATCTCCTGTAAAGATGTGCTGAGGCAGGGTAGGGGCCGGCTGCAGGCAGGAGACTGGGCAACAGAGTCCTGCATGGAGCCCCTGCAGGGACTGGTCCCATTCTGGACAGTCATATCCTCCTGACTACCCTGGAAACGCCTCCTTCTCCAGCCCTTGTCATCCAGGGACAGGGTTCGCTCCAACTTGGGTCTCATGGGCAGCTGTGGGATGAGGGGGTTTGCTTTAGCTTGTGGGTTCTGGTTGCTTGGTTTTGCTGGAATGCTGAAAGGAGGCACGGGGTTTGTCTCTGGAGTGTGAGGGTCAGTGGCTGGTAGGGAGCCCGGTGTTGGGGTGAGGTTCTTGTCTGTGTTTGGAAGCTGTCCCTGGAGCATTCTGCCCTCCAGCTGCCCAGGTACCTCCGTGTGACGACGCAGGCAAGCTGACTTGGACGGCATAGTCCGGACCAGGCCAGACCTCACCCACTCAATCTGGCCCTCCTAAGGAAAGAGATCCTCTCTCGGAGGTTAGTAAGCAACTCGTGTTGTCAAGGATGCACGTCAGAGGTCACCAGTTGGATGCCAAGAAAATTCGGGTGGTTCCCTTTGAGGCATGGGGCGGTCCTTTTGGAGCAGGGCCTGTGGCTGCATGGCTGGAGTCCTGAGTTCTCATAGATGCCTAAGGAGATCCGGAAAATCTCCCCGAGTCTCTCTTAGCTCCCTGAAACCAGCTTGCTGTTCTTAAAGCGATCTCGTAGGAATTGGCACCAGGGGGTCGGGGCTGCACTTCCTCCTCGGAGCTGTAGAAGTCTATCCCACACCCTGGGTGATCCCTCCACCGACCCTGGCAGAGTAGGGCAGCGCGCTCGCCGTCCTAGGCTCACCTGTGCCCACCGTTCGGTCGCAGACCCGCCGCCCGGCGCCTGTTCTGATCCAGCAGGGCCCGGTGCTGGGGGAGGCGGGGCTCACCCAGTCACCGTGGCGGCTGGAACAACGACTGCTGCCCCGTGCCCCGGCCCCCGCCCAGGGTTCGCCACAGCTCAGCCTAGTGGTCACCCTGGCCCAGGCCCCGCTCTGTGGTTGCCTTACGAACTGCCCGGCTCAATATCACAACGCCGCCCACAGCGGCCCCTGGCGGCTGGAGGACCACACCCCGTGCCTGGAAGCCACACCCCTCCCTACACGAGGTCACGCCCTGTCCGACAGAAGCCGTACCCACTCCCGACAAACCCTGCCCAACCCAACAGTAGCCCAAGGCTTTGTTCACACTTTAGATCTCACTGGTCAGCCCCTCAAAACACAAAGGAAGCCATAAATGAGGTTACTTGAGAGCCCAAAATATTTTATTTAACAATTTGAATTTAGGAAAAATAGCAGCTCCCAGGGAGGAAGCTTCTTGAATCAAAAGTGGTTGGCAGTCAACACAGAGCCTGGGCAGGGTTGCACCAGAGGCAAGGATCCTGCCTGGTCCCAGTAAGGACACAAGTTGCTACTGACCCTCAGGGACAGGCCTTTCTTAGTGACCATATGGGAGGGTCTGGGCACACTCACCTATGGAACATTCTGGAAACCATTCTGTGAGTCTTTCTAGATGATGCGGGGAGCCAGAAAACCAGAAAGGGCTGTACTAATTCCACAGTCTACAATTTCTAAATTTAATACCAAACCAAACCATTTATGTTTTCTACCCAAATTACCTGCTGATTTCTATAAATATTTAAAAATCTCTGTCCCCTCCTCTTTAGAGTAAAAGGATAGTTTTAGGAACAGTCAGTGAAGCCTTAAAGCTCTGAGTCTGAGGCAGCAGCAGCTCCTTGAAGAGTGATGTGGCTGAATCAGTGGGCAGCTGCTGAGGTCCCTGATGGGCTCTGGGGTAGAGATGTCAGGTTCCAGAGTGTCTGCTAGGACACCACCAAGTCCTTGAAAGATGTCTGTGCAGGTGAGTGAGTCAGCTGGAGGACCCCACACAGCCCATACAGACCCCTCACTAGGAGGGCAGTATTTTGCAGCATGCAGCCAGGTTTTGACCTGGTTGGCTAATCAGATCAGCAGCTTCAGAACATCAGCTCCCTGGGGCTCCTCCCAGTGACTGGGCCACAAGGGGAAGCTCTGAGCAGTAAAATCCACCCAGCCCTAATCAGGCCACAGAAAATGAAGTGAGGCTGGGAATTTCTTGGGGACATACTCTGGTAATGGCTTTCCTCCCAGCCTGTGAGCCACTGCCATCTGGTGGCCCTAGAGGACCTGGTTCACAGGACAGGGCAGAGCAGCCCAAGTGTAGCTAGGGCTCTTCCTTAGGCCAGGCAGCCCAACAGAGGCAGTTCATCTCTAGTAAAGCACTCACTCTTCTCTCAGCATCCTAAGGAATCCTGGTCGGTTTGCACCATTTCTCAGGTGAGCAAGGCCCTGGTTTCCAAGGAACTGTGCTCTCCTGTGGGGAAGCCCTGTCTAGCCTCACTTCAGGAGTATTCTCAAAAGACTCAAACTATTATATCCTTAATTTGTCTAAAGTGACTAGGAAAGAAACATAGTTCTTTTACATAAAAGACTTTGAATTAGATTCATTCTATCCAGCATCAGAAAGGAACCATGGAATCAATTTTTCAGTAATTCATATACATGAGCTGTAAGGAGGGAGACACACAGTATGACCGGCTCTGGGTTACTGCCAAGTCCATCTGGGATCCACGAGCCCTGAGGCAGCTAGTTTGGTTCTTGGTGGAGAACAGTTATCTAGTCATCTCAGGGTTCCAAGTACAATCCAGCAGCAATCCTAGTTCAATGCCGCGTATTTTCTTTGGCCAATCCTTCCTGGCCTTGAATTCCCCGAGGTGACAGAAGCCTGGAACAAAAGGAACAGCAATGACCTACATGTGTCCATGCCCAGGGACTGTGCAGCAGGATGAATCTGCAAGGTAAGTACAGGGATAACTGAAAACAGGCAAGCTCTGTGTTAGCGTCAAGCATGAGACCTTCTGTGGGTGCCACGTTTCTGCTGCTCAGCACTTCTACCCACAGCACTGCAGACATGCTTTGTTTCCATCCTGTCACAGTTCTGTCAAGGCCAGAGGGCTGAGGCTAGTAGCTCTACAGAGCTGGGCCAGCTAAGGGTTCAGTGAGTCCAAGAGTAGATGTGGCCTATGGCCTTCTGTTGCTGCAAAGCACAGGGATGCTCCATGCCAGGAGAGAACACTGGCATATATTCTTCCTCCCTCACAACACTGCACTGGGATCAAAGCCAAGGAATCTGGCAGAACTACTCAACTACAAGGTCAAAAGAAAAATGAGATTTTGTAGTTGAAAATATGGACATAATTGGTGACTAGGGGTACAGTAACTTAATCAGCACAGGGGTGCCAGGACCCCCAAGAGGACTATGTAGAGACCATGACTGGGTCTAGCACAGCTGAGGGCAGGGTCCCTGTGAGCGTGAGCAAATTTAAGCTACTGTCTGTAACTCCAGTTCCTGGAGATCTGTTGCCTTCTTCTGGTCTCTGTAGGTACCAGGCATGCACATGGCATAGACATATATGCAGCAAAACACATATACATAAAATAAAAATTTAAATAAATAATAAACTTTGTTTATTTTTCTATTAAAAACAAACAAACAACCCACACACATACAAGATGCATGCCGCAGGACTGGGGATGTAACTCAGTTTGCAGAGTACTTGTTTAGCATGTATGAATGCCTGATTCAAGCCCCCTGTCCCCCAAATAAAAATGCCTGCCAAGAGCTTGTCCCTTCCACAGCTCCCCCTAACAGTGGCTAGACTACACTTCTCCAAAAGATATACAGTGCATTCCCGACTCTTCCTGGCAGAAGTACACTCGGGCAATGACTGACCCCAGAGGAAAGATGCCATTTCAGTCTTCAGAAACAGAGAATGAGGACCTGTACTCTCACAGTGGGCACCAGAAAATGGCACTACTACTTTTGATCTGGTGAAAATTTCCACCTAAAAACCGCACCCAGCAAACTCCCAACTCAGCACTTAGGGCAGAGCCAAAGGGTCTTTCCAGAGTCAACTGCTGAGGCCTGAAGCTGCTGGACAGTGTGTTACCCAGACAGAGGGATTAATCAGGAACGAAACAATGAAAGATTCCAAACTAGGGGGTCTCCTTGTTAGAACTCCTCTCAAGGAGAAGAGGAGGGAGAAGGGAGAGCTGAGGACTGGGCTGAGAGGCTGTGGCTAAAGCCATACATCCTATGCAGGAATGGAAGACTGGCAATATGGGAGGCAGCCCTCAGTCCATGGCAAGGAACAGAAAGAAAAGTCCTAAGCCTGAAGAGCCCAAAGCAGTGGGAGGAACAGAAGGCAGCAGAGGATGCAGGTTACGTCAAGTAAAAAGGCAAATCTACGGCATGAAAGAACAGCCAGGCACCTACAAAGGTGAGTTCTAGGACAGCCAAGGCTACACAGAGAAACCACATCTCAAAAAAACAAAAGCAAAAAAGAAGAGTCGGAGAAAAAAAACCTCAACTCATTGAACAGGCAAGCTAGGGCTGTGGGGAACACAGGCAAGGGTCACTCACCTGCACCAACTGAGCAGGGTTGTAAAAGGGCACAGACCCGCCTGGAGTGGCTCCTGCAGGACAGTGGTCTCCAGGAGCCTGTGAAGCACAGAGAAGGAGCTCAGCAAGCCAGTGTTACACAGCAGTTGCTGACCCAGCAGCAGACAAAAGCCACACTTCAGAAAGGACCATTAATGCGCCAAACAGGCTCTAGAGAGAGACAGCTCTGGCAACACTGGTTTTCATTACTGGATGGTTCAAGGAATAGCCAAAGTCAAAGCACCATGCAGTAAAATAATCCAAACAGAAACATGCAGACAATGAACACAGAACACTGATATTTCATTAGTGCTGGTCAAGCGGTTAGGAGACCTGGATAGTGTGCTTGCTCTACAGTCACAGGCAGCCAGAAATGCTCCCTTAAGACTTTCCGTTGAAAGCTACTGACACAGCCTGGCTCCAGAACAGAAAGTGAAGCATTCCTTGCCTCCTTTAGACTAGTCGCATGATGGCCATCACAGCCATACTCTCACTGGCTGCAAACAGACTTCCTCAAGCCTCATCAGCAAGAAGAAATCTTTCTTCCCAAGTGTTTTCCTAACTCAGGCGATGCTGACAGTATGGCTGGGGTCAGGCCCACTTCACAAGGAGCAGAGTTATAGCTCACCTGGGCATTCAAAACCCTGTGAGGCAAGTCCACCACCATGTCCAGGTAGTATCATAAACCCAGGTCCTTTAATGGAGGAAAACTGCATCTTTGCCCACTTGATGCTTGAGTAAGTCAAGGGGTTAGTGACAAGTGAAGAGGATAACAGACTCTTTAAGGGACATAGGAGCTACACAGCCAGCCCCGTGGAAGGAGGGAGCCACCAGCCACAGGTACCTGATGGAAATGTCGGCTTACTTCCTGTGAGAGCGAGCTCAGAGAGCTACAGCGCGAGAGCTACGGAACAGCAAGAACACACACAGATACAGACATGAAGATCAGCATGCGCCACTGCTCCAAGCTGCCAGCTGGGTTCAAAAGCTTTATGATGCCATTAGAATCAATGTCACTCAAATCAAGACCGTCAGAGGTAGCTTCAAATGCCCTCCACAGTTTTGATAAGAAACCATCATTACTCTTGGGGAGGGGAAGAATCTGTATAGCCCTCAGCCCACAACAGCTTCACTTTGTGACACCTCAAAATTCTGGAATTGCCAGACTACTCTGAGGGAGACCTGGCTAGAGGATGATGATGAGCAGGAGCCAAAGTGATCACACAAGTTAATGTCTTTCTGTGAATAAAATACATTAAGTGTTTCAGCCTTGCATTTCCTTTTTTCTGCACACTCGCACACATTTTTAAAGAGAGAAGCCACTAAGCAATACACTGAGCTGGCTAAGCCTCCATTCCAGGTCATCATACCTCACCGTACCCACACACGACCACACATACATGCACATGCACACACCCATGCACATGCATACACATGCCCCCCGCTTTTTCACCCATGCATACACATAAGACACAAATGCACAACACACACACACACACACACACACACACACACACACACACACACACACTGT